TCAGGCAATTCTCCTGCCTCAACCTCCTGAGTAGCTGGGATCACAGGCACACGCCACCATGCCCAGCTAATTTTTTTTGTATTTTTAGTAGAGACGGGGTTTCACCATGTTGACCAGGATGGTCTCGATCTCTTGACCTCGTGATCTACCCGCCTCAGCCTCCCAAAGTGCTGGGATTACAGGCTTGAGCCACTGCGCTCGGCAGAAGAAACTTTTCATTATATACTTTAGGCTTTTTCATTTTCAAACCATGTGAATATATAAATTTCCCCCAAAATATTTTCCTTTGTTTTTTAAATAAGAAGGTAAATGCCTAAGAAACAAGTAAATGGCTATTTCAACTTCTGAGTTAAGATGGTAGACTGAATACATTAATTTCATTTTATACCTTCAGAAAATTCTAAGAAAAAAATATTAAATTAAATTGACTTAAAAATATATAACCGCAACAAATTTTGGAAATAGAAGACTGATGATTGACTTAGCAATCGTAAGTAAAAGTTCAAGGTACTGTGTGGGGAAAAACCTGACACAAATTACTTTACATCGCAGAATCTTTAAAGTCACAATAACTGATAATACCAGGTACTGGATTTGATGGGAGATTTAGCTAAAATAAAGAAGACTAGGTTTGATATTAGCTATCTGAAAAACACATTAATACTAAGACCTTTACCTTGTTAAGCAACTCACCTTCCCCATTCCCAGCACAAAGCTGAAAGGTTACTCTCTAGAGACAGACAAAAGGACACTGTGTATAGGTGAATGCAAAACAAAAAAATGAAGAAGATTAAATGACAACACTAACACTTAATACTGAAACAGGCCTTCATCACCCTTCATGTCACCTTTCCCACAGTGCTTCCAGGACACTAGCGGCAGAACCTTATCTTTTATTTCGGTGGGCACTTGTAAGTCTTCTCTGGGACATGCTAACAAGTCCAAGAGGAAAGACTAAAATATACTATCCATCAGAGGGTTCCAACAAACAAACAAACAAACACCACAACCAAAGCACCTCACAATAAAGTTAAAAGTCAACAAATAAACCAGGCACAGTGGCTCACACCTGTAATCCCAGCACTTTAGGATACCAAGGCGGGTGTATCACCTGAGGTCAGGAGTTCAAGACCAGCCTGGCCAACATGGTGAAACCCCATCTCTACCAAAAATACAAAAATTAGCCAGGTGTCTGTAATCCCAGCTACTCAGGAGCCTGAGGCATGAGAATCGCTTGAACCTGGAAGGCAGAGTTTGCAGTGAGCCCAGACAATGCCATCGTACTCCAGCCTGGGCTACAAGAGTGAAACTCCATTTAAAAAAAAAAAAAAAAAAAAGTCAACAAACAGATATGCAGCGTTTCAATTAGCCTTTCAGTTTGCCACTGACAATCATGTGTAAACAGTCAAGGATTAAGTCATTTGGAAAGTAATACTACACAGGAAGAACACATTAAAAATTAAAAATTGTCATTAATCATTTCCATGATGTAAGAGAATATACTGCAGACATGAAACAAAATAAGAATAAAAAAAATAGGTTGAGAATAAAAGACAGCTCTTGAAGAATGATAAAAAGGTGTGTGTGTGTGTGTGTGTGTGTGTGTGTGTGTGTGTATTTTTTTTTTTTTTTCTTAAGATGGAGTCTCGCTCTATCGCACAGGCTGGAGTGCAGTGGCCCGATTTCGGCTCACCGCAACCTCCGCCTCCCAGGTTCAAACGATTCTCCTGCCCTAGCCTCCCAAGTAGCTGAGACTACAGGCACGTGCCATCATGCCCAGCTAATTTTTGTATTTTTAGTAGAGATGGGGTTTCACCATTTTGGCCAGGGTGGTCTCAAACTCCTGACCTCAGGTTATCTGCCTGCCTTGGCCTCCCAAAGTGCAGGGCTTACAGGAAGGTATATATTATTTTTAAACTCAAAACAAGAATCAGATACAAATTTAACAAGGCTACAGTAATCAAAACAGCATGGTACTGGTACCAAAAGAGAAATATAGACCAGTGGAACAGAACAGAGGTCTCGGAGGCAACACCACACATCTACAACCATCTGATCTTTGACAAACCTGACAAAAACAAGCAATGGGGAAAGGAGTCCCTGTTTAATAAATGGTGTTGGGAAAACTGGCTAGCCATGTGCAGAAAGCAGAAACTGGACCCCTTCCTGACACCTTACACTAAAATTAACTCCAAATGGATTAAAGACTTAAACATAAGACCTAAAACCATAAAAACCCTAAAAGAAAATCTAGGCAAAACCATTCAGGACATAGGCATAGGCAAGGACTTCATGACCAAAACACCAAAAGCATTGACAACAAAAGCCAAAATAGACAAATGGGACCTAATCAAACTCCACAGCTTCTGCACAGCAAAAGAAACAATCATTAGAGTGAATCGGCAACCAACAGATTGGGAAAAAATTTTTGCAGTTTACCCATCTGACAAAGGGCTGATATCCAGAATTTACAAAGAACTAAAACAGATTTACAAGAAAAAAACTAACAAGCCCCTTCAAAAGTGGGCAAAGGATACGAACAAACACTTTACAAAAGAAGACATATGCGAGGCCAACAAACATATGAAAAAATGCCATCATCACTAGTCATTAGAGAAACACAAATCAAAACTACATTGAGATACCATCTCACGCCAGTTAGAATGGCGATCATTAAAAAATCTGGAGACCACTCATAGGCGGGTGTTGAACGATGAGAGCACATGGACACAGGGAGGGGAGCACTACACACTGGGGTCAGTTGGGGGGAAATAGGGGT